AGTCAAACCCTGGTCTGCATGAATCCAAAACCTCCAACAAGTCACTTTGGAAGCTTATATTTTCACTTCTTGATTGGTCTGTTTGGAAGGCAGAAACCCACACCTTTATTTTTATTTTTATTTTAATTTTTAATTTTTGGGATTCTATAAACATTTCTAATCTCTGTTCCTGGTAATAATGATCAACACAGTATGAGAGTAGGCCCTCATAAGGAGCATAAGCAGGAGTGGGTTCCTAGTAAAAATTCGGAAGTGATGCTTGAGAAGCCAAATTTAAGGGTAGGGAAATTCAACTGGTTAATTCATTTGAGGTTCTTTCACTGCCTGATCAATCGGAAAATGATGGGAATGCTAAAGTTAGTAACAAGAATGGGATCGATTGCAGGACTGTTGCAGATGATTTCTCTCATCAAAAGTAGAACGAACATCATCTTTCTATGCTGTTAATAGCAGCTAAAACTGCAGAAGATGTGACTGAAGATGTCTCTTGTGCTATGATTGAAGTTAACATTCCTCCTGTTATGATTCATGTTAAAAGCCTCTCCCAGGATAGACTAGATTGGCTGCTAGTGGAGTGAATGCCATCTTGCAACAATTGATGAAGGAAGGAAAAGTAAGAAGAATAGCAGGAATGATCAGGCTAAGGAAAAATAAGAAGAATAGCAGGATGATCAGGCTGCAAGTCTCTCAAAGACAGATGAGAGTAAAGTTTCTTCTCCTCACCATTCAAACGGTTAACATCTCACCTGGAACACTAGGGAGTATCTGTTTGGGAGGAGTGCTGTAGTTTTTGTTTTTAAGTTGATGTTTTTTTTTAAATAATTTTGACATGTTAATATAAAAAAATAATAAAAAGATCTAAAAAATCTTTTTTTGATAAATTTTTAAGTGAAAAATATTTTTTTTTAAAATATCCTTAGTAATATCAAATACTCAAATTATGTTGACGCAAGTAGGTTGTGTTTTAAGCTTAAAGTTGATATTCTTCGCTTAATCGAAACACGGGCAAAATTGCCGAAGTCTGAGGCCATCGTTGATATATTTGATGTTTGGGAGTGGTGCCATAACTATGAATTTTCTCAACTGGGTTTGGATTATTATTTGGAAGAAGCATTCTAATCTTCTTGTTCTTAGTAGGCATAGTCAATTTGTTCTCTGTCAAATACTCGATGCATCGGGGAGTTATATTTGTGTTTGTGCTTTTGTATATGGCTCTTACATCTTACGTGAAAGATTCCTCACTACGAAGGACTTCCACAGTCATCACCTTCGCCTTCAACCTCGTGCGTGGCAGCTTCATCGTCAAGGCCCCTGACCTCCGTTTTAGCTTATGACGATCAGTTCGAAGGGACATGAATGGAACTCTGAAATCTTGTGTTTCCTCTTTCCCGTAAAGCATGGTGCAGGCCATTAACTGAGTTACTGATAGTTTAGTGTTCATTGATATGAAAGTGTTTTTTCTTGCTTTGATGGGCATATATATATATAGTTTCACGACCGCCTTAAATCATGGAATATGATCAGGCGGGTTTCCACTTTTGGCCTTCCATTCGGGTTCTTTGACTTTCTACTGCAACACAAACACATGTTTCTTTTTTTAATCAATCGATTTTCGTACAAATTATTATTCCATTGAGGAGATGAATCTCTAATGGTTTAATGTCTACGTCGGTAAAGAAATCTCCTCTGCGACCTCTCTCATTTATCATGATAAATCGAGATATCATCACTTTGTTTTGGAACTTGCGTTTTGGATTGTTACGAGCCTTTTTGATCCCTGTTTTTTTTGGATTCTAGATAATAATTTAAAGTATTTTTTATTTAGAAATATATTAAAATAATATTTGTTTATTTTTAAAAATTATTTTTATTATTAGCATATTAAAATATTTTAAAAACATAAAAACATTATTTTATGAATATTTTTTTTTTCAAATTTTGAAAAAAATACAGTCTGTGCTTACAAACATGTTGTATGTTTGATTTTCTAGTTCTATTTTTCTTGGAAGTGCTTGATATTACAAGTATAAAATTAAATATTTTAATGTATTGATAACTAAGAGATTGAATCAACCTCTTCTATTTTCGAAATGATTGGCGTGTCCTTGATTCATGACACCTTTTTCTTTTGTCCTTCTCTTCCTCTATGATCAAGGCTCTAACATATATCATGGGATATTGACACAGCTTCCCTTTTTTTAATTTCTTTTCCTGTATATGAAATATCAAAACTACCCATTTCTTGTAGAAGGCAAGAAGAGCAAATTACAGGCAAGCAAAAATGATGAGGTCTAGAGTTGAAAAAAAAAAAAAAAAACCGAATGGGACCTTTTTTTTATCACTTTAGCCCCTTTATAGCCCGAAGCTACAAAGTGAAAAAATATATATCCCTAATTCGTCATAGGCTAAAATGTTCAATCATGGAGCCTAAAATTTCAGAAGTAAAAAACATTAGGCTATGACGAGCTAATATATGATTAAGTTGATTGATTGGCTAAACTCAAGAATAGAATCTGGCACATTACCGTGAGCTCAGTGTTTAACTTGATTAAAAAATAATAGGTTATCACTCTCGTTTTATTTCTTTTATAGAAAAGAGGAGGCCATAAACAAAACATGATGATGCATAAGAAAAAAAAAACATTATTTTCTGTCCCCCACACACAAAAATAGATAATCCTTCTTTTTTATTTTAGATTAACGTGGATGTTTGGATCAGCTTGGGCGCATCATAATTAATCCCACGGACCCTAAAATTAATAACCATATAAGTTTCTAGTGATTATTATATAAGCAACTAAGTACTCAAATCTGACTCTCCTTTTATTTCTTTTATAGAAAAGAGGAGGCCATAAACATGATGATGCATGAGAAAAAAAAACATTATTTTCTGTTCCCCACACACAAAAATAGATAATCCTTCTTCTCCCCTCGCCTTGAATGATTGTTAAATCTGTGGACTTTTGACCATCAAGTAAACATCGTAGTCATCTGATTAAAAGCTCGGTTCGGAAAAGAAATCTGATTAAAAAAAATAATGTTTTTTTTTTCTTTTCTTGCCCCACCATCAATAATACCGGGCCAACACGGATCGTTTCGAATCTTGTCGGGTCGTTTTCTTTTCTTCTTTTCTTCTTTTTATGAAGTGGATGTGGAGATGGAACTTGCAAGACTAATAATTCAACGCGCGGTGGTTATGGATTCTTGTTGCTTTGTGACCCAAGTGGCATGCTTGCTGATTCTCACTACTGAGTTTCTGGTTTCTTGCTGTTAGCTTTTCAATTCCAAAAGTTAAAAACCCTATCAGACTGTTCAGCGTTGGAGACAGAGGTTTTTTTTATGAGAGGGTAAATTAACAATACATTATGACTTTTTAATATGATTTTTTTTAACTTAATTAAGTTATATAACTTAAATCTTTAAATAACTGTTCAGCATTTACACTTGAAATACTTTTATAATAATGTATTAATTTAATTGATGAACCTATGATTTTTTTTATTGTCATTAATATTTACATAATCATTAACATAATTACAGAATAATAAAGTTAGTTGAATTACATAATAATTTTAAATTTTTTATATGATATTTATCGTAAAATACACATTAATTCATCAAAATTCATTTCAATATATATATATATATATTGATTAAATTATATTTAATTATTTCTAGACATTTACATTATTTTTAGGTAGACACACAAAAATTATATGAACTCACCAATTCAAATATGTAAAATAAATTTTAATACTATATTCTAATTTCAAAAAAAAAAAAAACTAAGAGAGAGAAAGTGTAACTTATGAGATTTAAACCCATGCCCTCTCCTAACTCCAAACATCTCATTAACAATTAATTATAAATAAATTTGTGATATAAAATGAAAATTAATATATGTAAATTATAAATTAAGAGACCTCAATTAAATTATCAATCCATAATTATAGTGAACTAAGTCTTAGTTAAATAATTTTAATAATCTACTATGCCAATAATAATGGTTTTGCATGAATATTAATTTTGAGTTGCATAATAATTCTAAATCTTTCATATGATATTCATAGTAAAATACACATTAATTCATTAAAATTCATTTCAATATATATATATATATATATGTTGATTAAATTATATTTAATCATTTCTAGACATTTAAATTATTTCTAGACATGCAAAAAAATTATGACACACAAAAATTATATGAACTCACTAAGTCAAATATGTAAAATAAATTTTAATATTATACTCTAGTTTCAAATATATATATATATAAAATACTAAGAGAGAGAAAGTGTAACTTATAAGATTTAAACCCATGCCCTCTCCTAACTTCAAACATCTTATTAACAATTAATTACAAATAAATTTGTGATATAAAATGACAATTAATATATGTAAATTATAAATTAAGAGACCTCAATTAAATAATTAATCCATAATTATAGTGAACTAAGAGACCTTAGTCAAATAATTTTAATAATCTACTATGTCAATAATAATGGTTTTGCATGAACATTAATTTATTCATTTATAATAAGAAAGGAAACATTTAATTGATTAAATTAAGAAATTCAAATATTTATTTTGAATATATTTGAATACATTCATATCAAAATCCTTAAATTATCATAAATCCCAATATTTTTAATAACTAATTATAAAAAAATATTTTTAATAACTAATTATAAAAAAATAAAACTAAAATTAGATAATAAAATAAATAGAAAAGATAAAAAATTTCTTACCTAAAACATAAAGTAAAAAAAATACTTATTTATCTAGACTTGAAAAGAATTTTGTATAAAAGAAAAAGACAGGCAACAACAATTCAAAAGGAAAAAGGACTTTTTGTTAATCAGTTAAAAAAAAAGAAAAAAATTTAAGCAAATGAGTTGAAAATATATATTATATTAAAATATAATTAAACAATAACTTCCCACTTCCCATGTATAAACCCTCCCCAAATTATTATATCAATATCCTCATATAAAAAATATTGAAAAAAATTAAGGGGACAATTGCTCTCTTCTGTACCCACGTGGCCGCCACTGAGACTGTAATTATACATGTCTGAGCGAAAAAGAGGCTTTTAGGCGTGGGTTTTGAAACTGTGTCGATAACCTGATTGGGCTGATTTTAGTTGAATGCATAGGTTAGGTGGGGTTGCAGTGTTGGGTGTTGTTAGCTGTTGTCTCTAAGGTGGTTCTTTTCCCTTCATGATTAATCTACGAAGCTACCTTCCTTTGAATTTTGTTTTTTCCATACGTTGCATTCAATTTTTCTTTTTTTCCAATACACGAGAATGAGATTGAATTCATTTTATTGTTGTTTAAGGAACACAACGTGTGCATATGTTGAAGAACTGCTGATATTCCTTCACAACAAGTGGTGAGTGATTTCTTTGATTTTCTGGACATTTTACTCCTCTTGAGGGTCCATTTTGCATAAATAGGCCAACTGTTAATCTTTTTGCACTCTCTTTGTGCGTGTCCGGGAACAGATACCGATGCTGAACCTCGCTGATGGAAATGGGTAAGATTTCTTGGCGACTGAAGAGAATGAGAAAACATTCCATCTTTTGTCTGTATATAATTGGAAAAGCTCATTATGAACTTCAATTTTTAAACAATACAATTCAGGTTATTGTTAATCAAATATTGTTAAGGATGTTTATGTTCTCTACATCCCAGGGAAAGTGAAGGCTTATTTCAGTATGGTACCACCACAGAGAAGCTGAGGATTTACGTGTTGTGGTTCAACATTTTCATGGGGAGAAACGTGAGATAATTGGACATAGTAAAGGTCCATTTTCTTCGTTGCTAAGTGTCTACAAAATGAAAGAACAAAAAATAAATAAATGAAATTAGACAGCATTTTGGAAATATGTGGATTTTGAGTGGAGCACTTTGTAGCGAGCTATAGATGTAATTTTACATGAAAATTTCTGTATATTAGAATTTTTATTTTCTCTTACATAGTCTTTTGTTGGCATTCAAATAGCATCAATGTTTGCCTTTTTTTTATCATGAAAATTCTCTATATTAATATATGTACGCAAATTGCATCATAACATCAATTAAAAGGGAGACATGGGATCAAACCATGATGTGTTATGTTATTTGACATTTTTTTTCTAAGATAAAAATTTTAAAACATATTATTCTCTTCTTGGATCTTATGCATTAATGAACATATTTTATAACAACTTAGAGGCCAAGCTAGATTTTCTTATGCTTTCTGCCTTTTGATTCTAGAAAATTAAGGAAGAATAAATACTTCAAAGTTTGTTGGTTAATTCAAGATTTACAAAGACTATCCACTACAAGTTATATACCTTAATTTCATATCTAGGCACACCGAAGAACAAATCAATAGTCAAATGATGATTTTTTTCTTTTCTTTTTGATGTCACTATATATAGGCGTTGAGGGTTTTGAGTTCTTCTTTCTCTTTGTAGTTTACTTTAATAAAATCCAAATTCTAAAGACAAGCAATGTTAGTTGACACTTCCTTGCTTGGTGGAGGATCAAGGAATGGTTTTTCCAGGTGATTCCCTTGTAGTTCTAATTACCTATTATAATCAACCTAAAACAAAAGTGTGCAAGCATACAGGTTGTCTTCCAAGCCTATCATTTGTTTGGTATTGTTCTGTGAACAGACCCACGCTCTAAGGTATTTTTATGCAAAGATAGCTTCATGGTTATAAAAAAATTTCTTCATACCTTTATTGCTGGCCTACATGCACTATTCAAGATTGAAAACAGTTGATTTTGTTGTTAAAATTTCAGCCTTCCTTCTCTCTGTTAACCCGCGTGTGTTTGTCTAACAACTAAATATGTATCATCAAGAGATTTCCCTTACACTATCCCATGTTGCAAGACAAGTAGAAAGTGTTAGGAGATCTAAATATTCAAACACACACAAATTTACGTGGTTCGGCAACTTGCCTACTCCACGGAGCTACTGGTTTGTATTAATCAAGCTCAAAAGCAATACAAACAACAAAACAAGGAGGAGGAGAAAACTTCTCAACTCAACTCAACTCTCACCCTTAGCTCTCTCTCTGTGTTTCTCTCTATCTCGTGGTCTATCTCAGCTATCAATACATCTTCTATTTATAGCTGAGGAGGGAGATGATTGTTCAACAATGGTGGGCAAGTTAGGC